CTTGACAGGAATTGGGGGAATGCACTGCTGCACTTTTGTCCATTTGAGATACTTTTTGAAGTATTCCAGAATAGTAATGTCATCCCTGTACTGCTCGATCCTGGCCTTGTAAGATTTAGACAAGACATCAACTATATCACCCATCCCCAGGGAAGATTTAGACAAGACATCAGCTATATCACCCATCTCCAGGGATTCACGATAATCCCAGGCCACGCAAAAATCCTCTGGAGCCTGTACAAATAAATAATTTGGTTTCCGTTATGGAGAACCGTTGAAGAGTTCTATTATCTACCCAGCACCTGACTTGGGATTCTTCTTTACGTTATACCAGTCTTTGTATTTCGTCGAGGGGACATAGACTTTGAAAAAATACCTCCACACGAGTAATTGAATTTCAACCTTCTTCAACTCGCAAAGCCTTGCAAATCCGAGGACTGCCGTTATTAATTTTGGCATAAATCGAGCAAGGAGAATCTTATAGTATTGAACTATATCTCCAAACAGAGGGTAAAGGGAGAATTTTAGCCCTAAAACCATAAACCTACCATATATAGTTATTTTCCCCTCTGGAGGAGTAGTAGTCCTTTCTGTGCCTTAAGGTGCTTGATATTCTAGATCTGCTAGGAAATCGTTCTTTTTGGCTATGGCCTTGGCTTTATTAGCAGAGTTTATGGTTGATGCAAAGTCGAAAACTGTTTGAACAGCCATATCTACCATAGTATATGAAAATATGACAAAATTTATGTAAAAAGACAGGCCTAGGCAAACATTAAAAACATGCAAGAGTTAAAGGACTAACTATTGTTGGAGTTCGAGGGTGTTCTTCTGAATTTTGTTTGCCCGATGCGGTGAATCTCTTTTGTTGACGGAAAATGCCAAAATCTCCGGCAACGAAATAAAGCTTTACTGCTGGACGGTGGCAAGTGATATACAGAAAAGACAAAAAATAGCGAGCTCTGCTATATATTTTTTGAAGAAGACGTTTTGAAAAAAAACTTTAGAGCTTCTGACATCGGTATATATTAATTCTCTCTCCCACGATTTGATGCTTGGAGCAGAGTTCAACGGACAACAATGATGGCGTGGCCATCGTTTGGAAATCGTTCCAAGTAATGGGGCACGTCTGCTAGGATTCGGGCGGGATTCTGAAGCGGGTTGTATTCTCAGATCGGGTTTTGACCCGCGAGTTATACCAACAGGCCTGCTTAAGACACTTTGGGCTGTCAGCAGCGCAATCAACTTGGGCCAACAGGTTAGATTTATATTTTGTCAAGTCTTATTTATTTCATATAACTAATACTTGACAGGGGCACTTGACGAGTCCATATCCACCACCGATATTGGACCGGCCCATTAACCGAGTAAGGGGCCCGACCGACTCAAATAGGGTGGCAACATGACTAAACCCTAGTAGGATTCGGGTTCCTTTAGGGTATTCCTACACCTATAAATAGGAATGAAAGCACCACAATTGAGGTACGCTATCTCTAGCACCAATTCACATATACATATTATTTCGCAACCCTATTTTCTGACTTAAGCTTAGGAGTGTCTATCCTCGGGAGGCCCCGAGGCTCTGTTTTACAGGAAACCCTAATTGGAGTTCCACCACCAAGCCGAATGCGCAATTCCAGGCATCGTCAGCAGACTCTCCTCAATATGATTAATCATAACAAGACTTGTATTCCCCTATCTGGTAAGCCTTTTTCTAATGATTGGATGTATGATTGTGGTGCATATCATCATATGACAGGTTTTCTTCATTCTTTGACAGATTTGAGGCCTAACAATCCTCGTCTGGTTCAATTACCTAATGGCCCTATGACTTATGCGTCCCAGGCGGGCACAGTTCTCCTCAGTGATTTTGTTACTTTACATAAAGTCCTCTTTATTCCCAGTTTGAAGTGTAGTCTGATTTCCTTGTATCACTTGTTGGAGGATTCTCACTGTGTTGCCCAGTTTACTGATAAATTTTGTGTTATACATGACCACACCTCGAGGACTCTGATTGGCGCGGGTGAGCAGTTGGAGGGTCTCTATATCTTCCGTGGGCCAGTTGGTGTTTGGGCGGTTTGTGCTTCGTCTGCGGCCTCTGCTTCCTTGTGGCACCAGCGGTTGGGACATCCTTCTCCCAAGGTTCTCCGACAGTTATCTATTATTAGTTCTAGTGATTCTAGTCTTGATCGTACCTGTGACAGTTGTTTCCGAGCCAAACAATCTTGTGACAGATTTTACGTTAGTGCTAATAAAAGTATGGTCATTTTCTCATTAATTCATTGTGATTTATGGGGACCTTATCGTACTCCTGCTATTTGTGGTGCGCGTTATTTCTTGACTATTATAGAGGATTTTTCTAGGAATACTTGGATATATTTACTTGAGGATAAGAAAACTGTATCTGTTCCTCTTCGTGAATTCTTCGCCATGGTTTATACTCAGTTTGGAAAGTTGGTCAAAACTATTCGTAGTGACAATGGGTCGGAATTTTTGTCTATGTCTGAATATTTTCGTCAACGTGGCATTTTACATGAAACATCTTGTGTCGCCACACCTCAACAAAATGGGTGTGTCGAACGCAACCATCAACATATTCTTAATAATGCCCGGTCCTTGCTTTTCCAAGCGCATCTTCCTATTGCATTTTGGGGTCACTGTGTTTTAACTGCGGGACATTTGATCAATTAGACTCCTTCTTCTGTTTTAAATGGAAAAACCCCTTTTGAGATTTTGTATGGACGGCCTCCATCTCTTCAGCACTTACGTGTTTTTGGTTGTCTTTGCTATGTACATAATCCATCCAGTGGAGGTGATAAAGTTTTTGCTCGAAGTCGTAAATGTATTTTTGTGGGGTATCCTCTTGGTAAAAAAAGGTGGCTCGTGTATGACCTTGAATTTCACAAATTTCTATCTTCTCGTGATGTTTTTTGTGAAGATCAGTTTCTCTATGCACCTTCTTCCAATTTGACAGACTCTGCTCCGGTCTTTGATGTCAGCTTTCCTCCTTTGGATGACGATGACGATAGTCTAATTCAGGATGTTGTTCCTCGTGTCTCTGTCTCTTCGGATTATCCAGTTAAGACTCCCTCCTCGCCAATGGATTTTGCTTCAGACATCACTGAGTTGTCTTCTGAAGATGGGGGGGGGGGGGTTCTTCCGTCTACACCTGAGCCTCCACTTGAGCCTACGGAATTATTGGGCCGCGGTCATCGTGCTAAGTTTCCTTCTACTCGACTGCATGATTATTCTCTTAATACAGTCTGCCCCCACCCTATACTGCTTCATCTGCCCCATCTGCGTCCTCAGGTACTCCTTATCCTATAACCCATTATGTAAACTATGACTCTTTCTCACCCCAGAATCAAGTTTTCTTCGCAGATCTCACTGCAGGTGTTCAACCTCGTTCTTTCCGTGAAGCTATGAACGATTCCAAATGGCGTTCTACTATGTCTGATGAGATATGCGCCTTAGAGCGTAATAACACTTGGGAAGTTACTTCTCTGCCAGCTGGCAAACGTGCACTCAGTTGTAAGTGGGTTTTTAAAATTAAGTATCATGCAGATGGCTCTGTTGAGCAGTATAAGGCTCTTCTTGTTATTCTTGGTAACAATCAGGTTGAAGGGATTGATTATCAGGAAACATTTGCCATGTTGTCAAAATGGTCACCGTGTGTACACTTTTAGCAGTTGCCGCCTCCCAGAATTGGGAATTGCATCAAATGGATGTGCACAATGCTTTTCTTCATGGTGATTTACATGAAGAAGTCTATATGAAATTTCCTCCCAGTTTTCGTACTTACCCCCCTGATCAGGTCTATCGTCTTCGTCGTTCAATGTATGGTCTCAAGCAAGTGCCTCGTTGTTGGTTTGCTAAGTTGTCGACCGCTTTGAAGCAATATAGTTTTGTGCAGTCTTCCGATGATTACTCTTTATTTACTCTTCATCGTGGCCATGTTTCCCTGAGTGTGCTGGTCTATGTGGACGATCTTGTCCTAGGTGGTAATGATAGTATTGCTATTCCACTTTTAAGCAATATTTGAGCATTTGTTTTCATATGAAAGATCTTGGATCTCTCAAATATTTCTTGGGTCTCGAAGTTGCTCGTAATTCGTTTGGTATTTTGTTATGCCAACGAAAATATGCTTTAGATATCCTTTTGGAGGTTGGTTTATTGGGTAGCAAACCTGCTTTGTTCCCCATGGAACAGAATAATCATCTTTCGCTGGCTGAGCGTTCTGTGTTCATTGATCCTGAAAAGTATCGTCGGTTGGTTGGCCGGTTGATTTATCTAGCCGTTACGCGCCCTGATCTTTCTTATTCTGTACACATGTTGGCTCAGTTCATGCAGTCTCCTCAGCAGGCCCACTAGGATGCAGCTCTACGTGTTGTTCGTTACCTCAAACAAAATCCTGGTCAAGGTATTTTGCTTCGCGGTGATAGTGATCTTCAGCTTTACGGTTGGTGTGACTCTGATTGGGCTGCCTGTCCCTTGTCTCGACATTCTCTCACTAGTTGGTTTATCACTCTTGGTTTGTCTCCTGTTTCATGGCGTACTAAAAAGCAGCAAGTTGTCTCCCGTTCTTCTGCAGAAGCTAAGTATCGTCCCATGGCTGATACTGTTTGTGAGCTAAAGAGAAACGTTCTGGTTTTTTTTTTTTATCTTGGTGGAGGTAATTTTGATGTCTCAGCCCTGACCATTGAGAATGGTCATATTGAAGTTAAGGCCACTTCTGGTGATACTCGTCTGGGAGGAGTGGATTTTGACAATAGGATGGTGAATCACTTCATTCAGGAATTCAAGAGGATGCACAAAAAGGATATCAGTGAATATCCTAGAGCAATCAGAAGGCTAAGAACAGCTTGCGAGAGGACAAAAGGGTCCTGTCGACTCATTCTCAAACAAGAACCGAGGTTGATTCCCTGTTCAGAGGCATTGACTTTTCATCATCTATTAACCGGTCGAAATTCGAGGATCTGAACTCAGATTTATTCACAAAATGCATGGAGACGGTTGAGAGGTGTCTTACAGATGCCAAGATGAGTAAGGAAATTGTGGATGATGTTGTCATGGTGGGAGGTTCGAGTAGGATCGTGAAGATTCAGCAAATGTTACGAGACTTGCTACCTAGAAGGGAGCTTTGCTAGAACATCAATCCGGATGAAGTGGTCGCTTATGGTGCATTTGTTCAAGCAGCAACCTTAAGCGGTCAGGGAAATGACAAGGTTCAAGAACTTGTCCTTGTGGAGGTTACCCCGTTATCTCTAGGTGTTGAATACATAGGTGAAGCCATGGAGGTTGCAGTTCCTAGGAATACAGCTATTCCTACAAAAGTAACAATATGGATGACTACTACAAAGGACTATCAATTTGATATGGAGATAAAAGCGTTCGAGGGTGAGAGAGCCAGATCAATCGCCAACATTTGTTTAGATAGTTTCTTGCTCAGCGGCATTCAACAAGCCCCAAGGGGAGTCCCTGACATCAGTATTTGCTTCGAATTACAAGCCAATGGCATTTTGAATGTCTCTGCTAAGGATATGATAACATTTGCGGAGGAAAGCATCAGGATCACAAGAGGAAACAGCTTATCATCAAGAGATGAAATTGAGAAGATGATAGAGGACGCCAAAAAGTATGAAGGTGAGGATGAACAATACAGGAAGAAGTATGCAGCAAGGTGTGACTTCGAGGAATACTTCTGTCAGAGGAGGGATAACATAAACAACAACACCGTGTCTTTTGCGGAAATAGAGAAGGCTAAGGACGCGATTCTCAAGGCCTTTCAATGGTTGGATAACTTGGATGCTTCGAAGAAGCTTGCTGAAGTTGATGAATATGAAGAGAAAGTAAAGGAACTCACTGATGCAAAAAAATCAACAAAATGGATAGGGTAGCCAAGAGCTATCTGAACTTTTTGGATGTCATGGATAGTAGAATAATTAAAAGTTGTGGGTGCACTCCTTCATCTTGAATTATGAACGGAAGATGTATATATTATGATTCTAAGAAATGAAATGAATGGACATCATCAGAGATAATGATAGTTCTAAATAAGTACATGGAATGCGCAAAGCAACAGTCACAACTTCTAAGGGGTACACAGTAACTTGTTTTCTCCCACACCAGAGGAAACTATGCTTGTTTTTCCCCTTCACTGAATGATGATGTGCAAACATAGACATGTGAAGAGACGGAAAAATTTGAGTCCTGCCGGCTGCCATTTATATCCTACTTATTTGATGATGAATTATCATTGCTTCCCTAGTTATTCGTATCGTACGAATATACACATAAATGAAAGAATTTTGCATTGTTTTATGTACTGGAAGTTTAACAATCGTAAGATAACTGTCAATTGCAATAGCTAATATACTGACTTTATCGTAGCAGCGACTTTCCATATCACTCTGAAGATAAAATGGTGAATGTTTGAGTACTCCTTTTATCAGATATGCAAGCTCAATTGTCATTTTGGTCTCTCGAGAACAAAGATATTGCCCTTGTTATCTCGTCCTATTCTGAAATCATCATCAACATATCTAATAGTATTTTGTTAAAGAAGAACCATCTCAATTACTGGGAAGCATTCATGAATATCCAAATATCAAAGGATACGTGATTTCAAGCCAGCCCTCCGGGTTAAAAATGCTCAGAAGAAGATTGTAGTTCTTCTCGAACAGGTTCATCAGCTGGCATTGCATGGTGAACAAATAAGAAGTCATGTCAAAAGAGGGCATTCAACTTGGTGCAAAATGCATACTGTATGTACCTGTTCAGGGGAGATTGTTGAACTTTCGTATAATATGTCAACTCTCTGCGTGAATTAATGGTGATGAAAAACATCACTAAGCAGAAACCAGCTGCTTTAGAAACTTGGAAAAAAAATGTTGAAAGTAGAAGATAATAGAATCGGGTGACCACTTAACTGACTTGGAAGCAATTTTGTAAGTTGCTTCAATTCTCAGCTGTCCCTTAAACAAATTCAGGCCTCTCGCGCTGAATTCGATCACATTAACTGCTTTCCCCTCCATTTTGCCATCAGAATATGGAACAAACAATTCAGGAATATACAAGTTTTAGACTCAAAGTTCAGTACAGAATATTCAAGAAAACAATATCAGAAACTTTGTTAGTTTGATCAATAGACTGGTGACAAGGGTTAGTATTTTAGTACCCGAATCACATCAATGTCTTGGTAAAATTCTCCCAAACTAATGAAGTCCCTTAATCCAAGTTTGGTTCTTTTTGATCCCAAAATGGTGATAGTGCTGTAAACAAGCTTCCAAGTTCCAGCCATCTTTCCAGTTTCATCATAATTAACTCTTAATAAGATACTATAATCCATCAGTTCATGTCTTGTCTGAAACTGAACTACAATTAAATGAACCAACCTTCTCTAAATTTGTGGTTGGTTCTGGATTAGGATTCAGAGACTCCAACTGCTTCACCATTTTCTCAATCACAGCTTTCTTTTCTGATGGAACTCCAAAAATGCCTCTGTTTATGCCTTACAAGTCAAACAATGTAACCCATCTCAAATATGCTCTGTAACTTTGCAGTGAACCCAATAAAGCTAAAAGAAAATGGATTGATTGGCATACCTTCCAGTGCTTCATAAAGTGATGATTTGGTCTGCTGAACTGTCTCCTCCTCATTCTCAACTTCAACTCCAAATCCCTGTTCACTAGCCTTTGCTAAAGCAATGATTTCAAGCCCAAGAAGTGGATGATGCCAATGTTTATTCCTGCACCTTTTGCTCATTGAGTGAGTGGCTGAGAATGCTCTGTGAACTGATCTCATTATCATCTTCCTCGCAACATTTCCTATTGGATGAAACAAATGAGGAGCTGATTTTGGAGGTTGGAATAGCTTTGTGGCCATTCTTCAGAATGACTTCAAATTTTCGCCTTTTGGCTCTTCTTAGGATGTAAGAAATGTCTGTAAGAACTGGTTGTGTACTTCAGTACTTGTGTTATCCTGATGCTTACACTAAAATTTGGAACATTGATGATAACAAAATCCTCACCGTCCATATTTTGTAAGGCCCACAGCATCAAAAAGATTCCGTCTATTTAGTTTTTTTTGTGGTTCACTAACAAATTACGAGAACAGAGTATTGTTGTGGTAGAACTCACTAAATTCACTCAAAAAATATGGGAGTTGAGTAGCTGGATTTGCAAGTTTAATCTATCCCTTCCTTTTATTTTAATAGTAACGGACCATTAAAATAGGACTGTGAGAATATCACAAGAGTTGTAGTTAAATAACCACTTTTTATACTAGGTAGAGTGAAGAAATAGCAATGGAGGAAAAGAGTCGATCATAAAGATTGTTAAATAACCCATTCAACAATATAACATGATTTCAAACTTCCAGTTTCTATAAGTTTAGATCCTCATGATCTTCCCCCGTACCGAAAACTCTGAAATTTCAACATTAGCATTATTTGATGAAATTAAGCTTTAAGATGGCTAACGTTTTCAGCAAAATACTAGATTATATGAGTATGTATGATGCAATCCAGAATTAGAGCAGAGCCTATGCTGCTGCTTGAGTCTTCTCAGATGCTTGTTGTTGTTCCCACTGGCTTGGAGTCACAGCTTTTGTGATGGACAGCGCATGAATTTCTTTCAACTCCTCGGCCAATGCAGCATTCACCATCCGATGCCTCTCCAGCAACCTTTTGCCTTCAAATTGTTCAGATACTATCTCAACCGTGAATTTTGCACCGCACCTGATGAGAAAACAATCACATCATTCATGAAGCACACAAGAAACCAACAATAGATCAATGAAATTTCTCAAGACGGAGACTAACCCAGCAGAGACATCAACCACTTCCTGCAATCAAACCAAAGTAAACAATGTATTAGAACTACAGAAATCTTACACAGAGGACAAATGCTAGCAAAGTCATGGGGAGGAGAAATCTCTAGGAAGATTTCAGCATATGAAGTGCTAAGTATATGAAATCTCTAGATTTCAGATTTCGGTATAGGAAATCTTTAGGACAAATGCTAGCAAAGTCACAAGGTTCTAGGAAGTGCAAGATTCTAGGAAAAATCTCTGAAACTGAATGAGCACAATTACTTGGTAGCAGTAAGTAGGAGGCACTTAAATGGGATCTGCTAGAAACAAAGCAAATCCTCATTTTAGACAACCGTGCGTATCTTTTCTTTTTATGTTTTGGTACAACTTATGTATATATTTCTCCAAACAGACCAGACTTGATACATCATACATGTGAATGTCATCACAGAACTATGCTACAACTTCATACTAATAGCATTATACGACCATAAAATTCAGAGAAATGATATCCATAGGGGACAAAAAAAAAAAAAAAAAAAGCCTTTCGAGAGATTCACAAATAATTTCATTTCATCAAAATTATTCCAGAAAAAAGAAAAAAAAGGCCTTTCGAGAGGTTCACAAATAATTTCATAAATTATTCCAAATCGTAGCACATCAAAAGAATGATTTAGTCATCCAAAATGAAGTATCATATTATTTGAATTCCTTGAACTGAAAAACTAAAGATAGCAAGCTACTATGACTAAATAAAACCGAGAAATTGTAACTGTCATATTATTTTAACAGGCCACATTTTTCGATCATTCATCCAACAGTAAAACAGCAGATAATGAAAGTACGTTGCAAAGATAAACTCCACATGAATCTATAAATTCTATATCAGATACAGAGAACAAACTTCTCCACCTCGTATCAGACGCAGAAGCAGGATTCTCTGAACAAGGTTTTTCAATCACAATCGAGAATGAACTCAGAAATGGCAGAGGAGACAATAAGCTTGTGAAAGTCAATTAATATAATGGTAAGTAAACACAACGCTGCGGAGGTCAGTTTCAAAATTGGATATTGTGGTAAGCAAGCTGAAAATCAATTTCAAACTTAGAAAACTTCATGCATCATGCCCCAGACCAACAAACACAGCAGCACCAAAAAGGAATCTACATCAGCAGAATATTTGTATCCCATCAGTCCAAAAGATTAAACAAAAAGAAAGAAATATTAAGTGCGTGTACATACTACACCAATATCACAGGCATGGTTCCCTCTCCCTACTATTAGAAGGGCAGACCAACGGATAGAAACTCTTGCATGACCAGGGGAAGAACTCAGATACTAGGTGTACCTTAAACTTCTACAACTAAGTGTTTCAAAAACACAATCCCGTGTCTCATTACAAAAGCTCTAATTGCTGCATCTGAAAAAGTAAAAACTAAAATAATTCTCCCTCTCAGACCCCAACACCCAGGGAAAAGATCAATGACAGAAACCATCTGAGGCGACTTCCAATTGTTTGAATTCAGTTCTTTGGTTGGAGAATATTAGTGTCTAGTATAAGCATATTAAAACTAACTATATTGCTTTGCAGTCGAATTGAAATTGACAAGTACTTGCCTCGGAAGAAATAAATCTTCGTATTGTTTCAATTACTACACCTTACAAACCTCTAATCTACTTCTTGCACTAATATCTGTATCAAACCTTGCCAGTTCAAATGGAAGGCTGTTCATTTAGTTTCAATGGAAATCAAGACACTTTCCAGTCCCGAAAACATAACCTACTCTTTGTTATCAATGCAACCAGCTGAATCCCAAATTCCTACCATGAATTTTAACGAGTAGACAGCATACCAATTAAAACACTACGCTCCACCAAAACAATGTCCACTCAATATCAACATTATCAATTCAAGCTCTCGGGATTCAGCACAAAAAACCATATCAATTTTCATATTGCTTACGATATTGCATTGGAAACAAACATAATTCAAGCTCTCAGGAGTCCGAGCACAAAAACCACATCAAATTCCATAATTGTTCACGATATTGCAATGGAAACAACCATAAAAACGGAGTCAATTAATTCAGAACACGAAGAATATCCAGAAATACAGCAAAGAAAAGGAAAGGAAAGAAACCGAAACAAAACCATTTATTGAATACTTCAGAAGCCCGTTTGATCAACGGCAAGTCGAAGCACAATAAACGAGCAGTTCAAAAGGAAACCCACAAAGGATGAAAGGAGAAAATCCTTACAAGATGAGAAGGGCTTAGTTTTGCCGTGAGTGAAGATTCAACCTGCTCCTTACTAACCCCCATGGTCGTCCTAGTTCTTAACTCCCTTCTACTGAGTGAGTTATTGGCTTCTCTTCCTCTACTGACTGCTTGTATAGTGTTTTTTTTTTTTTTTTGGTTTTTGAGAAAGCTTGTATAGTTGTATTAGCAGACAAGAGGAATATATTTCTCGCGTTAAGAAGGAAAAAGAAGCCGAAAAGAATTTTGGAAAGAGAAAAGGGGAAAAATTTGGAAAAAAGGGCGGTGGATGACAAATATAATAAATAAAGAGGACATTATTTTCGAATGATATGTATGAAGGACATAACAATTCAACCATACAAATATGAATTTATATATTTTAAAAACTTATTAATATCGGGTAAAACTACAGTCCCGTTGTTAATTTTAAGGTCCCGTTATTTTTTTATAACTGTGATTAGATTAAATATATTATAACCATAGAATTTGTATTAAAAAAATAAATTAATTTAAAATATATATGACCGGCCACCAATAAATTATTTATAGTATAAAATTTAATTGGGAGTCTTCTACTCCCTGAGTAACTATGCGTATGTTATTTTTTTCCGATGAAATCCTACTTCTCTACTTCTCTTTCTCCTCTCGCAATTGCTAGCTGTTGTTGTTTACTTATCTATTTATTTAGGCAATTTTTTTAAAAAACCCATCGCTTAGTGCGATTTTATTTATAGCTTGTGGGCTCCAATAAGTACAACTATGCAGCTGGTGCATAATGAGGAGCAAAAGCTTGTCTTGTAAAAGGTGTAATCCCTAATTGTATGGTGTGTGACGAGTCCAAGTTGATATGGCCTGCGACTAGGCCAGCCCAAGTTCGGCAAGCGGTTCAACCAGCTCCTAGAAAGTTCTAGGACAGTTGCTAATTACTTTCCTATCAAGAAAAGGGTTTCACAAACAGGTAACCCTAGCTCTATAAATAGGGATCAACCCCTCACATCAAAGGTACGGTCTATGCACCCAACTTTATACTTCTCTGACGAATACTCTTACTGACTTAAGCATTGGAGAGTCTACCCTCGGGAGACCCTGAGGCTCTGTCTTGTAAGTTTTAGGGTTTCATAGCCGCCGTGGCCGTTGGATTCAATCAACTGGAGATGTCGATACATATTCATGCTTCTTCAAGTGGCACGCCCAATGAGACCCACGACTAGGATTTTTCCCCCTTCAACAAATCTTCTGGCGAGGAAGGTGGAGATTGGAATAACGAACGTCTCCTTTTGATCAAGAACGATCGAACACGAAAACAGTCATGGTTACTTGTGTGAGCTCCATCAAATTAGGATATCCAGGTTCCACGTTTGATGTTTTTAATTAATATTAACCATGAATATGAGTTTTTAATTCGGCTCAGCCTTCGAAATCCCTCATAACAGGATGGTAAGTAGTCATGAGTCAAAATACACCTCTTTTATGGCTCCTTTGATTGCATGATGATTTTTTGTGCTTCTTCAAGAACATGAGATATACAAATATTCCCAAAGCAATCGAGACACTCTTCAATAAAGCTTCCTGCTTGCCTTGTTTCTTTTAACGTGTCGTAGATTAACTAATCCACTAATACACAACAAGAAGAGTCAGGTTTAGTTTCAATTCACATGTCTACTTTGGTTATTTAATTAATTGATCAATGATTAGGTTACTATTTGGGTAATATCCTACGTTTTTGGCAATGTCTTATTGGGGGTTGTTCATGACCAATTGCTATTTGCTCTTAGTTTCGGTGCGGTAAGAACATATGACAAACTCATTAAACTGGGTCTTTGTCAAATTTACATGGTTTTTGCATTAAACTTGCACATTGTATGCTTTGATAATTAATCATTATATAGGAGATTTTTATGCATTTTCGAGACGTGTCTCCTTTAAGTATTGATACCCAGGAACAGTGAATGGAAATCATCATCATTCACACAGTCAAGGCACGAGTTCGGTTGCATAGGGGATCTACGTGTTAACAACTCGATGGCCTCCATTCAAATTTGTTGATCACCCAAGGGAGTGAACATGGACCATGCCTACAGCATCATGGTGTCCAGGTTTTTGTCTTTTGGTTTACATTAATTTTAGTATATTCGACTGCATGCTCGAAATCCTACTATGATTTTCTCTTAAAACCAATTTGCACATTGGTTTCGGTGGGGTAGGCACCTTTTACATATCCGTTGAAAATTGAATTGATATACACATCGTATGTTTTGATAATTGGTTCATATCCTTGTATGGTTGGCACGTATGAGGTTTTAGGGATTCATCAAATACTAAACCACTATTTTAATCGTGACATAGCTTTAACACCACAAGTTGAGGGATAAAGACCATGCCCCAGTTTTTGATTCATAAAGAATCAAATGGGCTGCCGTAATTGACTTCGGTGGTGCATAACCAATCTTCGAGAAGAGTGTATACGTTCTAAGTCGCTCATTTCCCTCATTGATTGCTTCATAATCTACTCACGCAAACTTATACTTAGAGATAATAATAATTCAAAAAATTATTACAGCTATGTGACTTTTGCCTCGATGAGAATTATGTGTTAATTAGACTTCGTCCCGCCTTCATATATAAAATGGGGTGGACATAGTCTTAAAACATCAATATTTCATGCTCAATACTTTAAATAGTTGATATGCTAGTCATGATGAATGCCAGCATACTAGTTCGTGTGTATATTTTGGAACATGTATATTCATACTTCTTTATAACAAGCTATTACATATGTGCATATTTTGGAGAATATATTCCAATGTTGTCTTACTGACCAAAGCTTTCATGTGAATTATTTGGAATATTATCTCTCCATTGGCTTCAATACCAGCTGCAAGTTATAATGAAAGCAGGCATAATACAGCTGAGAAGGCATATCAATAACCAGTCTAGGCAGCAGCCGAGAAGCAGCAAAAAACCAAATCGAGAGGAACATCAACAGATTCCTCAAATTCGGAAATTGGTTTCTATTACTTCAGCAATTTTATATTTGTCTTATATTTCTATAATTGATTAATCCTCTTAATTTCCTAGGGAAACCTCCTTAATATGCCACCATTATCTTTAGCCACATATAGAAGCCAGTTTGGGGGTTATAAACTACACTGAGATCTTCTTCATAACTACACCATTATCTTTACACTGAGAAATTCTTCATACAATAACTTTAATATTTTTATGCTGAAAATCTCTCTCGTTATTTGTGATATAAGTCAAGGTTGCTCATTTCCCTGATTTGGCATGCATTATCGAGGTAATACTTCCTCCAAAAATTTGATAGCTCATTCAAGTTGTTTATTTGGGTTGGACAATGTACCCTATGATATGATCTTTTCTTGTATTTTTTGTTTTTTGGGGAATATATGCCATCTACATATCTCAATGCACGAGAAGTCCATTGATTGTCTTTTAAAATCCTTCGAAAATTGAACATATTTGGCATTAGATTTGATGCTCTCCTACTTTGTTAAGCATATTCCCTAAGTATGTGCAATAATCATTTGTTGCCCTCCTGCCTAGGAGTCAGCCTGACTTTCGTCATCAAATATTTCGATGGTTATTATCTCGTTTTTATGATCTCAAAACATAGAATTCATATTTGCTCGATATGACCTCTCATAAATGCAAGGGCCTATTACACTATCAATAAAGTTCATCGACGGAGGATCTACATCCCTGACGATTAGCAGGCTCCAAAACTCAGTGAGCTTATTCCATTAACATGCACTAATATCACTATTCCGTGATGATTGTTATTCTGCATGTACATGTTTTCATTCCGTTACTTGGTCATCCTTGCGGATCCTTCTCTGGCATCCAATCGACCCATAAGTCAAAATGAATTTTCATAAGTGCATGTAGTATGGACAACACAATAGTTTGGATATTAATCGCACAGACCATATGCAGGGATTAAATATTAACTAGATGAAAGCAAAGAATGACTTTCGCTATATATGGGTTTGCTAAATTTATATCGCTGTATCTACGGCCAGTCATGGCATGCCCTTCATACGTAATCATATGAAATAAGCCGCATTAACATTACATCTGAGCTTTTTTGGATGAGATTTTATCATTATTCATGACCTTAGGTTTGGCCGTATAAAACTGTATTGCTTGCATCTGTGTCTCTCGCCCACATTTTCAATGTGTGATCCAAGGAATAATACTGTAGGCCCAAAAGCCTACTTGAGTTTTGGATTTTGTTACTCGGTTTTTTCAGGATTTGCAACAACCCGGGCACATAGATAACTACTTTACAAGATAAATGCACCAGGCTGCATTAGTCTCGAAAGATAAAGGGACCACTCACACTGAGCTTTGCAAAAGCGCTCCACGACAACAAAAAGATTAGCATGGCTCTTGCGCCAGGATGACATGCATAAATCCATAACCTGCTCCTCACGCAGATCAGTTTGAAAAATTAGATAAGTGTCAAGCTTACCCTTACAATTCTCACTCGGAGCTATAGAACATCTGTATTTTCTTTCTACCATGACATTTTAGACACACCTGTTTCTTAAACAAGCAAAATAATTTTGGTGTTTTCAAAATCCTTTACATACACTATATGCATGAAACCACCTTGCATAAGAGACCGTTAATAAACACGTGATACATTTTCTGAGCATTTACATATGCGCATATTAGTAGTGCAACACATTACTACTACCTTCACGCACATAACTGATATTGTTTACTTTTTGTATGAAAGCTTAGCCTGGTCTTAGGCTCAGTAAATAACTTCTGCTTTCTCAAAAGGGGGAAGCCATCCCTGTGATCGGCCTATAATTCCCTCGAGTTAAGGAGAACGTAGTTGAGTCAAGACACTATTCATAGTGTACATCAAAACTACTGATTTTCTGTGAAGCTCATGATACAGGATTTAAGGATTTATCCCTTTATAAATCCAGAGAACGTTTTGGGACTGTGATAGCTTACAAGTTTCCAGATCCACTTATTACACTTCACAACCAGATTGTAGAAGTCGTTTTGGGACTGTGATAGCTTACAAT